GGGGGTGTGTAGGGGTGAAAAAAAACCAACCACCACCACCTTCTGATAACCCTTTGAAAAGCCTTCTAAACATTTCTTACTCTAGCCTCCTTCCTAGTTTCAAATGTAACTTCTAAATGAATCAGATACAGTCTGTTATTTTAGCTTTCTCTAAATTCAGTTTACAATAAATTGTTAAATCCTGGGACCTGGAATACTCCATGTTCTACTGTGCAGTACACTGTGTACAAGTGAATAAAAAAAAACTCTGAAATGAAGATCACTATCAAAACAGGCATGAGCAGTAATTGACAGATTGTTAATGAATCAAAAGTGTGATACTTTAATATTGACACAAAACATTATACTTTTAGTTCGCAAAAAAATGTCTACATTATATATACACACACACAAAAGACGTTTCCGCTCTAGGAAGCTAGCAAAATGTAAAAACATAGCTATGCTAGCTAAAATTACCATAATATGAAAAGCATATTTTTACGGAACTTCAAGCTTCTACTGTTGGTATCAGCCTAGTTCTACAATTGAGAGGTGGTGTAGGGGGAGAATGACCCACAAGCCACAAGATTAAAACCAGTCGTAACTGAAGTTAGGCTGAAGTCATACTTGTGTCAAAGACCTAGGAATACAAATTATAGTCACATGTGGCATACTGTACTTCAAAATAATGGAAATACCACAATTCAAATCCATCTATTTGAGCATCTTATTTCCTAAATGCTATGTACAGAGCATAAAAAAGGATTTAAAATTGTTTTATTTCCTTTCTGTGTCTCCACAGATGACAGGAGGGTGTTTTAGCATGACAGAGAAGAAACTCATCAGATGAGCAATGATTACAAAACCAATTTACTATTTACTATAGTAACATTACTCATGTGTAGCCTACACATCCAACTAGGGAGACAAGTACAGTATATTCTCTCAACTAAAAACTAGTAAAGCTATTGAAACTAATTCTGCAGACACAAGACAGACTAAGATACTAAATACTTCCAGTTAGAAAAATAAGAGTAAGAAATTTACAGTTCAGGAATACACAGAGTCAAGGTATTGGTTTCTGCAAAAACACATGAGAAGGCACTGCCTAGAAACTATCCTTACTCCAAAAGCAAAGTCATCTCTGATACAAACCACTCCCCTAGAACTACGTGAAACAACAGAGCAGCTTCCACCTTCTGTATGGTTTTTTGGAATTAATAGAACTCCATGGAAAATTATTTCAATGAATTTTAAAGCAATTATTAAAAATAAAATAAATGGAATAAAAATATTTGTCCTTATGTTCATTTTAGTACTAACAAAGGCAGAAAATACAGCCAAACCAACATATGCTCAGCATTTAAGTATTGAGGTTGTTCAAATGTAAAATCTGAAGTCATATGTTTTCAAGTCTCATTTCAACTTGTCACTCACCACAGGTTCATCAAAAGGTTTTCAAATCTTTCAAATGAGTTCTGGCATAGTCTTATATTTAGCCACAAAACTTAGCACCTTTGCATGACTTCAACTTGGAACTAGGGCAAACAAATTAATTTCATCTCAGTGGTTCTTCTGAGTATTGACAGTCAGTCATTTAAATAAAGCAAAATTCAAGAAGAGCTATTTCACACTAAATGAGAGCAAGAGCTCTGCACTTCTATTTGCAGAAAGACTATAGCCTTATAGTTCCCAGAAACAGTGGACAGTCTGCACATTCACTAGTGACTGTGAAAGAAAAGCACTGACATTTCCCATTCTGGAGTCAAATGAAAGATTATGAGGCAACTGGATAGTACACAGCATCTTCTGAGAAGCGAAGAGAAGAGAACAGAAGTACTGGGCAGTCTATGATAAATCTCTGCACAGGGCGGGTGGAATGGCTCAAGGCCTCCAGTGATACAATACACACAAAAGTGACAGGATGCGGTCACAGCTCCACCCTGTGTCTGGAAAAACACATTTATAAACTTGAGTATGTCCTCCTTAAACTCATTCTGGACTACTTGTTCTATAATTAGAGCTGGGATTTAAGGGATGCAACCTATTCGTACAAGAGTATAAAAGGTATCCTTCAAGACTGATTAGGTACTAGAACAGCTTAGGCTTTGAAGCCTAACGCATCCCATCAAAACTCGTGAAAAGTACTAATTCAGTAAAGTAAGCTACAAATTCTCATGAGTGAGAACTGTGCACCACACCAGTGCTTACTCTTTCAAAGATCTGCTTATGGAAACGTTGCAAAGTGTTTTAATGAAGTACAAAGATATCAATATACACTCAATCTGGCAGCAAATGGATTTTTTTTCCTCCCTCAATCTGTCACACCCTTTTCTTCAGAAAGATTTCATATTAAAATAATAAGAAGCTCAGGACCTGCTCAAAACCAGTTTAAAAATAGTAAACCCCCTTCCCATTTTGTAATTGTAACATTAGACCAAGATAACGCAACCTTCAGAAAGAATCAGCACAAGGCATGAAAAAGATCAGAATACTGTACCCCAATGCACTTTAACAAGCCTTAAATACAGAATTCTAGAACTATAGCCTATGTTGTACGGAAGCACTAAAATGGAAAGTCAAGTCTGATCAAATGAAACCAAAGTAACAACCCCAGCTATAATCACTTTACAACTGCCTTGGGAGGACCTCAACATTAGTAGAAGGAAAACAATGAGGCAGAAAAGGACTTATGCTTGTTTCCTGCAGCTGTCCTCTCATCACCTCCAGACAGACAAACCAGCTGCCTAGTAAAAAACAGTACTGTTTCATTAAATTTCAAACAAAAGTACATACATTTATATTAGTTGAGCCAGAACTCAAAGTAAAGGAGCTCATTAACTCAGCAACAGATTAAGCTATTACATGACTTCACAACACAGACTGCAGAGGAAATGAAATAATGAGTTATGCTCCGAGAGTGTATCACCTAAATGGCATGCTCAGGTACAGATGTGATGGAGGTTTAACCCTCTATCAGTCCACTCACATGTAAACCAGTGCTGAGCCTGAAATCTGGCATAAGACTTAAATACTCACACTCAGTTTCTTGCAATTCTTACTCAGGCCAATAACAACCTACTGAACACACAACGTTCTGAAATCAGCAAGTTTTATTGGCAGAACAAGGCCAGCACCAGGCAGTCACTGCTGAGATGGCTTTAGTGCAAGACATGATCTTTCACTGCCACAGAAACTCTTCAGAGGTACGAGAGAAATCATTATATTACTTTGCTGATCATCTTATTCAAGCAACAAATGAAAAAACTGTCAAGAACAAAATGCATTTGCAGAATGCAAGCATAGCTTCCTTTTGCTCTCTAAGCTTTGTTATGACTTTATTGATATACAAAAAAATATGAATATACATGAATCTTTTACAGTACAAAAAGCAGGGAACTTTTAAGTCTAAAAAGTTTCACAGGTGCATTAAGGAAGTTTTGAGCATCTCATGCACAGAAGATACACATTTTTTCCTGAAAGAAAGTGTTCTTTATTTGTCACACAAAATAACCAAGATAACCTTCAAAAAGTTAAAACAATTGGATTGTTCACTATGATTATTTTTAACTCATAAGCAATTTCAAGAATAAGCTAATGATAACTGGGGAAAAAAAACCTATCACAACAGATACATTTAACAAAACTCTAATTGTGTGACTTGTAGATACAGTGAACGTGCATCAGCCAATGGGAAAAAATACTTGGCAAATAAACAACACAAGGCACTTCCAAAGAGGTGATTGTTTGGAAGCTTCCCTCAGATGATTCCCCCCCTCCCCCCCACATCAGGCCACCTCACCTGTTCTAGAAGACTACATTACACTAAACAAGGTAAACAAAGCTGTCTGAAACATTTATGGAAAATTTTTATTCTGCCAGTAAACATATTAACTCTGCTTTCCTCCTTCGTAACTTCTCACTGTACTTTCAAAAACTGGTGAAATGAGCACAGCAAGAATAGCAGCAACTTACTTGTCCCACAATGATTTTAAAGTCAACCTTTACCTTAGTCTGTTTTCCTCCCTAGAACTTTAGTAAAATATGTGGGCACATGCGCACACAGAGCTGAGATTCCTCCTTGTCTCAGAAAAGGAATTGGAAAAGTCCTATTATAAACAAATATACACACACATAAATTAAAATTAAGGAAGACCCCCCTACCAGTTTGTACAGCAGCAAAAAGAAGGAATGCCATTCTAGTTCTGTTAGTGCAAAAGCATTGCTTAGTTCAACAAAAGCAGAAACAAATCCAATGAGGAAAACAGACATTTCAGTTCTCCAACACACTTTAATTTTACCTTCAAGGTAGGACCTGACCTCCCTATCAGCACCACTGTACTGGCAATGAAAACCAATCATTTCTCCTCACACTATTTTTCCTCACCTCCTCTTCCTAAAGGCATCATCTTTGATTAATATTGGCAGGCCAACATTCTACATGCGGTCATCCTATGTCACCCTATGCAACACTGCTTATTCATTCATGTCTACTCTTGTCTCATCTGTCAGTTTTTCCACATCAATATTTAAGATGCTCACTGCTTTCAGTTGAACAGTGTAAAAATCTTTTTCTCCTGATTTTTAAAAAGCACATGCAAAGCAGCTGCAAATTCTTGATCTGCTCATGTATTTCTGCCTATATGCTGCTACATTTTTCCCAGATTAAAAAAGCTCAAAAATAGCTGCAGCTGCTGAGGTAACCAGTTTAATAGAAGTTATTACAGGCCAAT